CCCCCCCCCCCCCCCCCCCCCCGAGGAGGCCCAATCCAGTCGGCGACCTTCTCGCATGCGACAGACTCGGCCGGCCCCGGCAGCCACACCCCGCCCCCATCCTTTCCGCTTCGCCCAGCCCGGTACCTTTTTCAGCTCAAGGTCCACGGGCGCCGCCATTTTGCCTGCGCGGACAGCCACTGCGCGTGCGCACCACGCAACGGCCGCAACGGACTTTCGCGCGTGGCTCCGCCCCCACCCACCTCCTGTTTGCGGCCTGGCGGGTCCGACTGCGCGTGCGTAGGGAAGGAGAAGCTGAAAACGTTCGCGGCTGTTTTGGACTGTCGCTGGGACGGGTGGGGGGTCTCCTTGGTCGCCTCTTCGGAAGTGTAGAAATCGAGCCTCCCCGGTACCAAAAACAATAGTATGAGGTTTAATCAGGGGTCGTTTCCTGCAGGAGCGCACAGGAGCTGAGCGCCGGCAGTAAAGAGCCCAGGGGGCGGGCACATGCAACAAGCCCCGCCCCCTGCTCCCAGCAGCCCTCAGTCAGAGCAAGAAGCAGCCAAGTAAATTGCAGAGGCCCCCCTCCCCGACCCCCCAGTCCAAAACAGTCCAGTGGCACCTTTAAGACCAATTTTTATTCAGGTACAAGCTCTCCCTCCTCTGCAAGGACAGATCTGCACGTTCCCCCACCCCCGCAATAGCTGGCAATCCAAAACAGTCCAGTGGGGCCTGAGTGGTGGGTGTTGCCTTCTGACACACTTCCGGTGATGGCAGGGGGTGTGGCATATGCAAATAAGTTATGCTAATGAGTTTTGCTAATGAGCTCCTGCACCTCTTTTTCTACAACATGACCCCTGGAACTTGCGATCATTAGCTGTCCACGTTTGTGTATGGCTCCATGGAGCCCTCTGTCTGGGACCCATGGAGTAAAACAGGGTAGTTAACAACTTTTGCCAAATTGCTCAGGAAGCATGAGATTGTGCCAGTGTAATGTGCTCTACCCTGCAGTGTGGCAGTGGTAAGGGCCCATGTGTCTGGTGCAGCGCACGGCAGTTCGTGCTCCAGAGGCACCCCCCCCATGCCTCTCACTGCCTGTGCCCCTTGTGGCATCCACCTCTTGATTAACCCGGAGTCAAGTACTGAACATACAGAGTGGCACTTGAGTCTCATGAGAAAATTTAAATACAACAAAGACAACACAGAGAGCGCTTGGGGCTCTTTAGTTTGGAGAAACGAGGACTGAAGGGTGACATGATAGAGGTTTACAAAATTATGCATGTGATGGAGCAGGTAGAGAAAGAAGTACTTTTCTCCCTTTCTCACAATACAAGAACTCACGGGCACTCAATTAAATTGCTGGGTGGTCAGGTTAGAACGGATAAAAGGAAGTACTTCTACACCCAAAGAATGATTAGCACACGGAATTCACTGCCACAGGAGGAGGTGGCGGCTACAAGCATGGATGGCTTCAAGAGGGAATTGGATAAACATTTGGAGCACAGATCCATTCATGGCTATTAGCCACAAGGTATAGATAGGAACTCTCAGTCTGGGACAAGTGATGCTCTGTATTCTTGGTGTTTTGGGGGGAGCAACAGTGGGAGGGCCTCTAGTGTCCTGGCCCCACTGCTGGACTTCCTGATGGCACCTGGGATTTTTGACCACTGTGACAGAGTGTTGGACTGGATGGGCCACTGGCCTGATCCAACATTGGCTTTTCTTATGTTCTTATGTTCACAGTGCTAAGAAACATCGAATACTTCATTGCCTGTGTCCTAAGCAGCAAAATTTTTGTTGTTGTTGCTCAGTCGCACAGTCAAGTCCGACTCTTCGCGACCCCATGGACCAGATCACGCCAGGCATTCTCCTATTCCTGTCTTCTGCCGTCCTCTGAAGTTTGCTCAATTTCATGTTCGTTGCATCTATGACACTGTCTAACCATCTCATCCTTTGCCGTCCCCGTCTTCTTTGACCTTCAATCTTTCCCAGCAAAATTACTTTCTGATTAATAGTAGTGAATCTGGCAGGAGAAACCGTTGGAAAATATTTAGCAAAGCACTGAATTGCTTGCACACGCCTTGGAAGTTTTGACTGCCAGCTGGAGCTCTTTTTTACATCCTAAAGCAAACGAATTTTAGTACGGTTACATCCCTAAGCCTTGAGACGCTCACTTGGAAGTGGCCTGCGTTTACTTCATTTTGACTCGCTTCCAAGTCAATGGGCAGAGATCAGCAGCCCTGCAGCCCAGTTTGACGTACGCGGTAGTAAATCCCATGGATTACTCTCACGCTGGTTTTCATCAGATTCCAACCTTCCCGTGAGAGGTCCTCCTGCATGTGCCCTAAAGTCTTGCTTCTTGGACTGGTAGGGATGAGCCAAAGAACTGGTCCCGTCCCCGAGGTGCTTGCATATTTTTGTGAAAGCCAACCTCGCTCCCCAAAGGCTGGCAGAGCACCCAGAGGAGCATAGGCAGTGTGAGAGAAATCTCATTTTTGTATGTTCCACCACAAGCCCCCGCTATCTTAGAAGACTTCTTAAAAGACTCCTGCCTCTGGTGAAACTAGGGTTACCAACTCGAACTTACGAAATAGTGGGGGGAGTCCAGTTCCTCCCCAGGAGTCTTCTGGGGTGCGTGGTTTGTGCCCGCACCGCGATGACACCACCCGGAAGTGACGTCATTGGGTCGGGCATGTTGGGGGCAGGGGCACAATCATTCGGGGGGAAACCATAGAGTTTTCCCTCAAATGATAGAGCGTCTCCTGGTAACAGGCCCGACGTGATGACGTCACCCCCGGGTGGCGTCTTCACGTCACACACTTTGGGGGTAGGGCTCCCCCCGGCAGCCCAATACGAGCCGGCGAGGAATGGGCCTCTCGAGCGGGGGGACCTGGCAACCCTAGCTGACACGTTTGGCAGTGATGATGGGATTTGTCTGGTCAAGGCCACTATGGGGCTACACAGGGAGTAAAGGGCCAGAGCAGAAAGATACCTGGGTGGCCCACCATATTGACGTAGGACCAGGGGTGGCCAAACTTGCTCAATGTAAGAGCCAAACAGAAAAAAAAACTCAGATGTTTGCGAGCCGCAAGACATGAACAAATATTACACACACGTTTTTATTGAAAAATATGCACGTTTGCTTTTTTACTATCATTAAATGAGACTGCAAAAAAATAAAAACCAAACCAGATATTGATAGTGATATTTATTTGTCCAGTTATATCTATTCGTTTGCTAATGATATTTATTTGTCTAAGAGAGAGAGAGAAAGAGAGAGAGAGACGGAAAGAAGGAATGAAAGAGGTGGAAAGAAAGGGCACGCCTCCCCTTCACTTCCCTAGCCACCCCGCCAGGAGCCACACAATACGTGTGAAAGAGCCGCATGTGGCTCCCGAGCCACAGTTTGGCCACCCTTGACATAGGACCTGGTGGCTCAGCTACTGAACCATGTGCTCCCCAGGTTGCCTGGGAGTTCAGACAATAGGTGATGGTCTGACCCCAGTGGCAGAAAGTCACTGTAGGATGGAGCTAGGCAGGGCTGTTGTTGTAGAAAAAGCCCAGCAGGAACTCATTAGCATAATAGGCCACACCCAACAGCAGGAACTCATTAGCATATTGGGCCACACCCCTGACAGCACAGCTCATTCGCACATTAGGCCGCACCCCCATGTTACCAGAAGTGTGCTCATCCAGCCACACCCACCTTTCCCTTCTTATTCTGTTTACCTTGTTTGTTGTCCAAACCCAGGGCCTTTTTTGTAGCAGGAACTCCTTTGCATGTTAGGCCACACACCCCTAATGTAGCCAATCCTAATGAGTTTCTGCGGTTGGGTGTGGTCTATTATGTTAATGAGTTCCTGCTGGGCGTGGCCAACTTGGGAGCCAGCTGGAACCCCGTTCCTGTGCGTTCCTGCCCAAAAATAGCCCTGGAGCTAGGGATGGGAAAGGTCATATGGGGAGTTGGGCAGGTCCTCCTGTTGGTGCTCCGGGAGACTTGTCAGGTGCATAGCCAGGATTCTTTTGACCTGTGGGGCATATTTTTTTTCCCGGTGGGGCAGCCATTATGTGACTGTCTGTACACAACTGCACAAATTGGGAAGCAGCCAGAATTAGATGATTTCTAGTGGCAAGGCTTTGTGGGGCCTGGCTGATGCATGATGGGGCTGGGCCCCACCGTAGCTACGAGCCAGCTCGGGATCGCATTGCAGCTTCAGAGCTGCAACAAGCATCCTTGTGGGAGGCACTGGAGAGAGCCCAAGCCAAAGGAGAGGCAGCTGAAGATAAGGCAGTGACCTTCACGGTTTGGTTTGCCTGCCCACATCATAGAAACCGAACAAAACACAACCGCCATGCTGATCTCTTGCAAGTGTACAGACGTTAGCAAGTTTTTTTTAGGCGGGACCCAGAGACGTGGGATGGAGACATCTGGGAGTCATTGCAGAAGTAAGAGCAGACTGAAGGGGAGGATGAGGCCAAGGCAGAAACAGCCGTTGGTAAAACACAGAGGAATTTCACATTACCCCTTTTAACCCGTTTTGAAGCCGTTTTTGATCCGTCATGGAGTAAACCGGTATAGGGCTGCCATTTCACACATGGCTTTCCCCTTCTGGTAAAGAGCTGGATCTGAAGCGGTTTGCCATTTCAGACTGCACTGCCTTTTCCCACTTTCCCCCCGCCGTTTTCGCCCGCGTGGGTGATTTCCAGGTTTTTATTTAATGTTCGCTTTATAGCGCTATAGCGCTATAACAAAACACCCCAGGCATTCTAATGGCGTTGATATACTGCTGTTCCATCATAGCGTTATAGCGCTATAACGCTATAAAGCGAACGTTAAAAAAAAAAAAAAGGCTGGGGATTGCCCGCGCGGGCAAAAAACGGGGGGGGAAAACGCATCGGAACCGGGAGAGGAAACTGAAGACTACTTGGAAGCAGTTGACAGGTAAAACGCTTCAGCCCCGTTTCCTGAATGGGACAGAAGCGTTTGTGTCTGAAATTACAAATATATTCCAGTAGGGAACCAGTTCTAAAACGGTTCTGTCTGAAATGACAGACCAGAAACCGTTTGGGAACCGTTCCTCTTCCGGATTATATCGTCTATCTGAAATTCCTCACAATCTAACTCCTATACCACACTGCCTCTCATTTGACTGATCCCCTGCAACTGAAGAATTGAAAGGGCACGATATTAGCTCACGCCACAAAGTCACACACTGTCAAAGGAAAGCTTCTCTTGAGGCCGAAACAACATC